TGGTTCAGTGTTAATCACTGAGACCCACAGAGCCAGACCAAGGCTCCAATATACAGTAGTTCAGTGTTAATCATTGAGTCTCCCATAGGGTTCGGTGATAATCACTGACACTCCCATAGGGTTTAATGTTAATCACTGAGGCCCACAGAGCCAGACCAAGGCTCCCAAAAAGCCAGATAAATTTAACCTGTTTCAATTAATACATGTTCCCACAAGACCCAACCTAAAAAATCCGTCACAGTCATCTCTGCTTGACGTCCTATTGACAAATGCCTCTCACAATTTCGCACTGACTGGTGTTCTGGGTAATAACCTTAGTGATCACTCCTTCATTTTTCGGGTGAGATCATCAGCCAGACCCAAAGCCCCCCCTAAATTGGTTGAGAAGTACTCTATGAGACACTTCAGCACTCAGGCATTTACTAATGATGTGCTTCAATCAGATATTTGCAAGGTCTGTGATATCCCCAACCTGACTACGGCTTGGGAGACCTTCAGGTACACGTTTCTCCAAATTCTTACCAAACATGCTCCGTTGGTTAAATTTAAAACTAAAGGCAACCGCCCACAATGGTTTGATCCTTTGATTACAAAGCTCATGAAAACTAGGGACAAGGCTTGGGCATGTGCTCAGAAAAGTCATTTGTTCAATGACTGGCTAGAATACAGGACTTTAAGGAATAGATGCGTCAAAAAATCAGGCATGCAAAAAATGCCTACTTTTCCTCCACTCTCCTGGAATCACATGGAAATGCCAGGATTTTCTGGAAAACAATCAAACGTATCGAAAAGGCATCCAAAACAGATAATCTGCCCGTTGAGCTTAACCGAAATGGGGAATATTTTTCAGATCCCCAAAAAATAGTTGACAATTTTAACCTTAATTTTTCTGAAGCTGGTAATCTTTTTGATAATGTTTTGGGAGTCACCCCTGCTCATGCAAATTCCTACAACCCTGTCCAAACGTTAAACGATGTTTAGTTTCCAGCCAATCCACGAAAGAAATGTTCGGAAACAACTGTCCTACCTCAAAGGGTCCTCCTCTATCGGAGCAGATAGTATTCCCGTCTTTGCTCTACTAACTGTTGGTCACCTAATATACAAACTTATAGCCCATATTTTCAACCTGTCCATCAAAGAAGCATCAGTTCCTCTAGAATAGAAACATTCCTATGTCCGTCCACTTCACAAAGGGGGCCCTAAAGATGATCCAGATAACTACCGACCTATCTCAATTTTGTCCCCGTTGATGAAAATTTTAAAAAAATTATTGAACTACCAAAGTAGCAGTTTCCTGTCCACCAACAATCTACTACATCTAAAACAACCTGGGTTCCGGAAAAATACAGCACCATATCTGCTGCATTAGACTCTGAATCACATTTACAGTAGCCTTGATAATAAGCAGTACTGTGCCCGTCTTTTTCTTGACCTGTCCAAAGCTTTTGATCAGTAGTCCACAACACCCTGCTTAGTAAACTAAGTTGCCTCGGTTTTTCCGACAACGCAGTAAAATGGTAAAAAAAAATACCTCTTTTCTCGCACCCAAACAGTATTAACAGATGGTTGGAGGTCAAACAGTGTTAAGATAAAAAAGGGGTTCCACAGGGTTCCATCCTCGGCCCCCTCTTGTTATCTCTATATGTCAATGACTTGGGCACTGACCTGGATCATTCCAGGGTAAATCTTTTTGCAGATGACACGATACTGATTACTGCTGGTCGCTCTCCGGATGACGTGATTGCTAAGCTCTAGGGTGATTTCAACAAACTACAACATCAGCTAGTTGCTCTTCAACTAGTCCTGAATACCTCCAAAACCAAGGTGCTATGCTTCTCATCAGGACTAAAGCAGAAAGTTATTTTTCCCCAATTACATTCCTTAAATAATTATCAAATAGAGCAAGTCAAGATTTCTAAGTATCTTGGGGTCATCCTGGATTCAAAACTGAATTTTGAAGATCACATTGATTATATTGGTAAAAAGTCAAAAATAAAAATGTGTTTTCTGTATCGACACAAGCACTGCTTCCCCCTATGTTCCGTTTGGGATTGATAATAGCTACCATACTGCCTCTACTTGATTACTGTGACATCGTGTATAAATCAGCCCCAAGTACTGTATTGAAGAAGCTTGATTCCATCTATCACTCGGCCTTAAGATTTGAATTTAACTGCCCATATAGTACTCACCACTGTGATCTCTACATTGGGTAAAACTTAACATCTCTTAATGTTCGACGGCTTGTGCACCAGATCTTATTTATTTACGATGTACTTACAAAAAAATCCGCAGACTTACCTGCTGGATCTCCTCTTTGTTTCAAAGAACAAATTTGACCTCAGGTCTTCGCTCATTTACCAGCTTCACATTCCTTATTGCCATACAAAACTGGAGGAAGGGTCTTTGCTATTGATGCCCCCAGAGTCTGGAATACTATTGCCAATAAACTGCAACTTTGAATCACTACCTATGAGATATTCACTCAAAACTGCTCCAGAGGAGTTGTACACCCCTACCTGCCACTGCTATTCAGTGGCCTAAAATAAAATAAAATGTTTCGCTCCGGATGACCGCTGCAAAGTATTATCTGTATTTTGATTTAGTATGCTGATCTTAAAGGTGCATTGAAAAATTTGATACTCCGACTGATGCTCCTGTTGTTGTGGAGTGACTCATGCAGCCAGCTATGGCTCTAGGGTTTGGTGTTACATGTTGTTTATGTCGTTTATTGTGAAAATTCGGTCACAGTTCCTATGATCACTGTTACATTGCTTTTATGGCTTTATTTTGGTGATGTCGAAAACTTTTTTGGTTTGGCCATGTTTGTTTCTTGTAGTACGGAGTTAGACTGATGCCCTCAATCTAAGATGTCTTGTGGTTCTAGATTTGAAGCTTTCGTGACTGCAAGGATCCATACTCTTTGGTTCTATTCGGTAAAGTCATGTAGGTAAAAAATAAAACAACAAAAATCACGACGTTTCGGCCACAACACAAGCGGTGCCTTTGTCAAGGCACCTTAATCCCTCTCACACAGCTTAAATGTCGTAGTCTGAGCTTGGCTCTGTTTCACTCCAGCGCAGTCTTCGAGAGTCTGGTCCCTTCAACTAATGAAGGCCGCTTGTGTTGTGGCAGAAACGTCGTGATTTTTGTTGTTTTATTTTTTACCTACGTGACTTTACCGAATAGAACCAAAGAGTATGTCTTGTGGTTGTTGTTGGTGTTTGACTTGCATCCCACTGGGATTTTTGCACACAGTGTTGGTGTATGGTGCTTTTTCAGGAATATTTTGCTGTTTTTTCCTGGATTTTCTGTTTACACAGTCACATAGTCACTTTAAGATGTTTTCTTGTTCATGTTTTTTGTTTGTTGCGGTTGCACCCAATTCAAGAGCCGAATGGCTCACAGGGTTATACCAAATAAATAAATAAAACTGAAACTGATACCCATAGGGTTTAATGTTATCACTGCGGAGACGCTGTGTGCGGAGACGCAGTGTGCAGAGACGCTGTGTGCGGAGACGCTGAGAGCAGAGCTGCTGACTGCAGGATAAGGGAGGTGAAAGGTAGATAAGAGTGGGGAGAGGCTAAACATAAGTGACCGTATAGTTATAGGAGTGCCTACAACTGGTGCAAGAATAGATTAATAAAGTATAAGCAGGTGACTTGTTACAACGTGTCGGTGTGAGTACATTTTCAAAGACATTACAGTATTATAGTACACTATTTCACACTACTAGAAACGACACTAACACAGTACCCTACTATTCACTACACTACTATACACTACACTACTATACACTACACGACTATACACTACACTACTATAGGCTACACCGCATCGTTGTCATCATCGTGCGGCGCTTTCAGATGTGCTGCTTCGGTGGCCATCTGGAACGCTCTTCCCTTCCGAAGCCACTGGAATCTGTGCCAGGGTACGGCTGAAACTTGACGAAAACCCACGGGTAGATGGGAGTGAGATGGAACAGATGGAGATTAGTCCACACATGGGTAGCAGGAAGTGAGATGAGACAGATGGAGATTAGTCCACACATGGGTAGCAGGGAGTAAGATGGAACAGATGGAGATTAGTCCACACACGGGTATGAGGGAGTGAGATCGAACAGATAGAGATTAGTCCACACATGGGTAGCAGGAAGTGAGATGGGACAGATGGAGATTAGTCCACACACGTGTATGAGGGAGTGATATGGAACAGATGGAAATTAGTCGAGACACGGGTAGCAGGCAGTGAGATGGAACAAATGGAGATTAGTTCACTCACGGGTAACAGGGAGTGAGATGGAACAGATGAAGATTAGTCCACACATGGGCAACAGGGAGTGAGATGGAACAGATGGAGCTTAGCCCACACACATTTGTAGCAGGGAGTGATATGGAACAAGTGGAGATTAGTCCACACACGGGTAGCAGGGAGTGAGATGGAACAGATGGAGATTAGTCCACACACATTTGTAGCAGGGAGTGAGATGGAACAAATGGAGATTAGTCCACCCACTCTGCTGTACCTCCTTATGCTGGCAGAGCCAGCTGAAATGTTGCAATTTCCCCATTATCTCACTTATGACTCCGCCACTTCCCAAAACCAACCACTTCCTCTGTCACTCGACCTGGCCTCTAGTCCAGTGAAGTGCATTCGGCATGACTCATGAGAAGATTGCCTCTGTGAATTTCCACTCGGTTGCGCTATCGTTTTGCAATGGCCAGGTCGCTTGTCTGGGTCTCTGTGTCGTGTTGAGTCTATGCGTCTCTGTGTGGTGAGTCTGTGGGTCTTTATGTTCTCAGAATAAGAATCAGAAAGGGTTTTATTCGCCATGAAAGTTCGCACAGACAAGGAATTTACTTTGGCAGGAAGGTGCATACATTCAACATATAGTAATCTTAAATCTAAAATAAGTGGTATACAAGTCTAACTATACTAAAGGTACAAAGTCTAACTAACACTAAGGGGCTAAAGTATGTAAAATTGTATGTGATGAGTATGTGGGTCTCTGTGTGCTGAGTCTGTGGATCTCTGTGTAGTGAGTCTGTCGGTCTCTGCGTGATGAGTTTGTCGGTCTTTGTGTGGTAATGAGACATCACTCATGAGCGCCGCACAGATGGGTCGGAAAAACCAGACACCTTCCAATGCAATACACAAAATTCGTTTCAGTCACCAGCAGTTTAATCAGGAGGTTCACATTCGTAACAATTTAATCTTTTAATAGCGGATTAGAGGTTGTGTGCGCGTCTCTCTCTCTCTCTTTGCGGCTGCCTCCTCCACGTAACTCACTGCTTGCCTGGATATATCAGCTGCTCATCGCGGTCCCACAGACCTGGAGGCAGGGAACTAGACCCGACACTCCCGCTGCCGTTGCTTCCACTACGTGAGGCCCAGGCCGCGTCACTTGACCGCGCGGTGACCACGACGATGAAGGCCACGTAGAAGCCTACAATGCACAGCACCACGGCGCCTGCAAGCCACGCGATGGCGTTGAAAATGGCGGCGGCGCGTGCCGCCCGGCGCGCACCGTGGGTGTTGCCCACGTGACGTCGATCCCTCGCCTGGGGGAGGGGCGGAGGGGTTGGGGTGATGACGTGAATAGATCCCGTGACTTGAGTCTGCACCCCGAGTCTCTGCACCCCGAGTCTCTGCACCCCGAGTCTCTGCACCCCGAGTCTCTGCACCCCGAGTCTCTGCACCCCGAGTCTCTGCACCCCGAGTCTCTGCACCCCGAGTCTCTGCACCCCGAGTCTCTGCACCCCGAGTCTCTGCACCCCGAGTCTCTGCACCCCGAGTCTCTGCACCCCGAGTCTCTGCACCCCGAGTCTCTGCACCCCGAGTCTCTGCACCCTGAGTCTCTGCACCCCGAATATCTGCACCCCGAATCTCTGCACCCCGAATCTCTGCAACCCGAAACTCTGCACCCCGAGTCTCTGCACCCCGAGTCTCTGCACCCCGTATCTCTGCACACCGAGTATCTGCACCCCGAGTCTTTGCACCCCGAGTCTTTGCACACCAAGTCTCTGCACCCTGAGAGTGCACACACCACGCACACATTACACACCCCACACACACCACACCCCATACACCCCACACACACCCACACACACCCCTCAAACACACACACCTCTCACACACGCAACACACCACACCCTACACCCCTCACGCACATTCCACACACCCCCCCACACACTACACAAACCCCACACACCACACACATCCACACACCACACACACACACACCCCCACACACCACATACACACACCCACACACACCACACGCACTCCACACACTCCACACACCCCTCACACACACACACCACACACCCCACACACACCCCTCACACACACCTCACGCACTCCCCACACACCCCTCACACACACACCCCACACACGCACTCTCCACACGCACACCACACACCCCACACGCACAACACACACCCCACACACACCTCTCACACACGCGCACCCCACACGCACACCCCACAACCACACACCCCTCACACACACTCCACACACACCACAGACACACACCCCACACATCGCCCCACTACACACACTCCACACCCCCGCACCCCACACAATCCACACGCACACCACACAATCCACACGCACACCACACAATCCACACGCACACCACACAATCCACACGCACACCACACAATCCACACGCACACCACACACCCCTCACGCACACCACACACACCTCACACACACCATACACACCACACACACCCAACACACACACACACCCACACACCCCCCCACACCTCACACCCCCCCACAACACGTGCCCGCCACCTTGATTGACAGCACCGTGGCTACGACTCCCAGGCAGAGGCAGTTGCAGTAGACGAGGCTGAAGAGAGACACCGCCAGCAGGTCCCTGACTCGCTCCGTCCCCAATGTCGCCGCTTCGACGTCCGTGTCACGCCCACCCCCCCCTTTGTCGGCGGCGACTCGCGAGTTGAGGGGCCCCTCGGAGGGGGAGGCGGAGGGGGTGGAGCCCCCCCCCACTCTCGGCTTGGGCGGCCGAGATGTGGGGCGAGAGACGTCGAGACCCATGGCGCGCGTCTTCTCCAGGAGTAGTGGTGTAGTGTATAGGGTAGTGTAGTAGTGTATTGTAGAGTAGTAGTGTATAGTGTGGTAGTGTAGTGTATAGTGTAAAGTAGTAGTGTATAGTGTAGTGTATAGTGTAGTATACAGTGTAGAGTAGTAGTGTATAGTGTAAAGTAGTAGTGTACAGTGTAGTGTCTAGTGTAATTTTCAGTGTATTGTATAATGTAGTGTAGAGTAGTGGTGTAGTGTAGAGTAGTGATATATAGTGTGGTGTATATTGTGCAGTGTATAATGTGAAGTAGTGTGGTGTATGGTGTGGTCTGTATTGTGCAGTGTATAATGTGTAGCAGTGTGTTGTGTAGTGTGGTGTATATTGTGCAGTGTGTAGTCGTGTAGTGTATCGTGTATTGTATGACCTAATGGCACCAGACGTATCCAACCGTGCTGCTCGGAGGTGCGGGCGTAGGACGACGGCACTGACGTGGATATTGAGCTAGGTACTGACACGGGACGATGCGAGAGAGATGTGGTGAGCGTGGGTGGTAGTTAGGGTGCTGAAATGGGGAACTCTGTTTCTTAACGGACATGCGTGCGCGCGTTTAAGTCGACTCGGCCGCAAATCGCGAGCCGGTGCGCCGGTGGGTGTAAGAAACGACAAAAAGTCGCCACTCGGGGAGAGACAAAGGCGGCCGGGCGGGTGTGGTGGTGCTGGCCACCTACCTGCCTGTGTGTGTGCCACAGTGGCGGCCGTCATAGGCGGTGCTGCTGCTGCTACTCGCAGCTCACAGCACATCCCTTTTACAGGCTACACAGGGGACCTTTGATGTTGTGGGTGAGTGGGTGGGTGTGGGTGATTGAGCAAGTGGGTGGGTGATTGAGCAAGTGGGTGGGTGGGTGATTGAGTGAGTGGTTGATTAAGTGAGTGAGTGACTGGATGAGTGGGTGATTGAGTGAGTGAATGGGTGGTTGCATCAGTGAGTAGTTGATTAAGTTAGTGAGTGACTGGATGAGTCAGTAGGTGAGTGAGTGACTGGATGAGGGAGTGGCTGGGTGAGTGGGTGATTGAGTGACTGGGTTAGTGAGTGGGTGATTGAGTGAGTGAGTGGGTGGATGAGTAACTGATTAAGTTTGAGTGACTGGATGAATGAGTGGGGGAGTGAGTGGTTGAGTAAGTGGGTGGGTGGGTGGGTGAGTGGGTGGGTGGGTGGGTGAGTGGGTGGGTGGGTGGGTGAGTGGGTGGGTGGGTGAGTGGGTGGGTGGGTGGGTGGGTGAGTGGGTGGGTGGGTGGGTGAGTGGGTGGGTGGGTGGGTGAGTGGGTGAGTGGGTGGGTGGGTGAGTGGGTGGGTGGGTGGGTGAGTGGGTGGGTGGGTGGGTGAGTGGGTGGGTGAGTGAGAGGAGGAGTTGGAGACGCTGCTGCTGAAACTGGAGCATGCCACTAAGAGGTGGGGCCTTACCATCAGCCCCACCAAAACGAAGCACCTGCCTTGGTGTTTTGTACCATCGGGCACTCCACCCCCACAACTCCCAATCCGTGAAGGGGCAGTTGTGGAGAGAGTGGAGAGTTTCCCATACCTGGGCAGTGTGCTCATGACCGGCTCTGGTTTAGCAGCAGAGGTCTCACTCCGAATCAGTCGAGCGGCAATATATTTTCATCGGCTGCGTAACGCTGTGTGGAAGCTACCTGGTCTGTCGCTCCGCACGAAGCTTCGGGTCTTCTCGGCCACGGTCATTCGCTCCCTTCTCTACGCTTGCGAAACGTGGACCCCCCCCCCCTCCCCTAACGGAGCATCTTCGCCGGTTAGAAACATTTAGGTTGGCCTGCCTACGATCAATCCTGGGTTTAACCAGGCTGGATTGTGTGAGGAGCTCACAAATCCTCGAAAGACCTGGACAAAGTCCCATCGGTGTGCATCTCTGGCAAGCAAGGCTGCGTTGGCTGGGCGATGTAGCCCGCATGCCCAATCACCGTATGCCCAAACAGCTTTTGTTCGGCCGGATCGAGGGGGCTAAACAGGCACGGCACGGGCTAGATAAGATATCGAGTGACGTGGTAAGGACGACGTGGAGCTGAGTGGACTTGCCGATGACTGGTACCAGCGGTGTCAAGATCGGCCTCTGTGGAGGAGGCGCGTGAAGGACGCTACTGAGCAGTTGGAGGCAGTCGCCCTCCAACAACAACAGAGGGCAGAGGAGCGACGCTCACAACAATGAGCGGAGCGCCGGGTGGCTAAAGCACAGCAAGTTGGCACAGTAGGGGGCACAGGTGGTGCATCAGCCAGTCATCTCTGTCATCTCAGTCTGTCGACCCCGTGGCACCTGGGTCTGCCCCGTGACCTCCTGGCAGCGGCCGTTCGACACTTCAGGTGGCCTCAAGGTGCACATGGCCTGGCACAAGCGTCGTGGTGACGTCACCGCCACTTAGTGGCGAATGGCGGTTGATGTTGTTGTGAGTGAGTGAGAGAGTGAGGGAGTGAGAAAGTGAGTGGGTGGGTCGATGAGTGAGTAAGTGGGTGAGTGAGTGAGCGGGTGAGTGGGGGAGTCAGTGAGTGGGTGAGTGAGTGGGTGAGTGAATGAGTGGCTGAATGAGCGAGTGGCTGAGTGAGTACGTGGATGATTGAGAACGTGGCTCAGTGAGTGACTGCCTGAGTCAGTGGCTGAGTGGCTACGTCACGTGCTGCTGGCACTCGGAGACACGAGTCTGTGGCACACACGCAAAAGAAGAGACATGGGGATGCATTAGGGCGATCCAGGTGGCGAGATGTTAACTACCTCCCCCGGTATATAGGAGGTTGTAGGTTCGATCCTGACCCTGATGCCCGTTGTGTATTTGGAGTTTGTATGTTTCTCTCACTCTCCCTTTCGTCATGTAGATTTTTTCCGGCTTCTGTTTGTACTCCACATTTAGAAATTGGCATTTAGAGTTGTTGGCTGCTATGGATTTGCACGTAATAATATACTTAATTGGGATATCATTTTGGGCCAAGTCATTTATGAAAAAGAGCTATATATCTCAGTGGCCTTACCTGGTAAAATAAACAAATAGCTGAGTGGCTAGGTGAGTTATTGAGTGAGAGAGTGGCTGAGTGATTGAGTGATTGAGTTAGTGGTACAGTGAGTGACCGAATGGTTGAGAAAATGAGCGAGCAAGCAAATGTTCGAGTGAGTGAGTGGCTGAGTGAGTGAGTGATTGAGTGAGTGAGTTATTTGCTAAGTGAGTGAGTGTTTGAGTGAGCGGTTGAGTTGCTGAGTGAGTGAGTGGCTAAGTGGTTGAGTGGTTGGGTAGTTGAGTGGCTGAGTAAGTAGCAGAGTGAGTGAGTAGTTGAGTGAGTGGTTGAGTGAGTGAGTGGCTGAGTGAATGAGTGACTGAGTGATTGAGTGGCTGAATGAGTGACTGTCCGAGTGAGTGCCTGAGTGGCTAAGTGAGTGAGTGGTTGAGTGGCTGAGTGAGTGGCTTAGTGAGTGAGTGAGTGGCTGAGTCAGTGAGTGGCTGAGTGGCTAAGTGAGTTATTGAGTGAGTGGCTGAGTAATTGATTGAGTGGTGGAGTGAGTAAGAGACTGTGTGAGTGAGTAGTTGAGTGGTTGATTGAGTTGCTAAGTGAGTGAGTGGCTGAGTGAGTAGCTTAATGAGTGAGTTCTAGAGTGAGTGGCTGAGTTTGTTAGTGGTTCAGTGGCTGAAGGAGTGGCGGAATGAATGAGTGGCTGAGTGACTCAGTGGTTGAGGGAGTGTGTGAGTGGTTCAGCGAGTAATTGAGTGAGTGGTTGAGTGAGTGAGCGCGTGCTTGAGTTTCTCTGTATAGTGAGTCTATATGTATATATGTTATAAGTCTACGGATGTCTGTGTATTGAGTCCATGGACCTCTCTCTGAGTCTGTGGGTTTCCGTATGATGAGTCTACGGGTCTGTATGTGCCTATTGGTCTTTGTGAGTCTGTGATGAGACACATAGGTGAGTCTGTGTCTCTTTATCCTGAGTATTTAGGTCTCTGTGTGATGAGTCTATGGGTCTCTGTGTGTTTAGTCTACGGACGCCCTCGGCTTGGGAGCCAAACCCTCCTGCTCCTCCGGCTTCTACTGCTTGTTGTTGTTGTTGTGCTGGGGAAGGGGGGGTAGAGGGGGGAGAGAATAAGTCAAACTCACACTCAGTATTGCTCACACTCACCATGATACACTCACCGTCACACTCCCATTCTCACGTAACTTCATTCACACACTCACCACGATACTCAAACACTCACACACACACTAACCATAATACTCACACACACAGCCACATAGTCATCATGATACTCTCACACACAACCACACACTTATCATGATACTCACACACACAACGACACACTCATCATGATACTCACACACTCACCATCAATCACACACTCACCATGATACACTCACCATCACTCAGACACAAGCCCACACACTGACGACAACATCAACATCCACTATTCACCACTACGTGACAGTGAAGTCACCACAACTAAGGTGCCTTGGGTTGACTGGTGTGCCAGGCTAGGTGCAGGAGGAGGTCACGGGACAGACTCATTTGCCATGGTTTGACTGCTGTGCTAGGCGAGGTGCTGGGACAGGTCACGGGGCAGACCACAGTGCCATGGGTTGTATGCTGTGCCAGGCTCGGTGCAGGAGGTCACGGGACAGACCCAAGTGCTATGGTAGACAGAAAGATGTCAGGCAGAACCACCACCACTACCACCACACAACCTCACAGAACCACCACTCAACCGCACACCCACACAGAATCACAACCACCTCCTGGTGGTAAAAGTCGGCAGTCCAATTTGGCGGCAGCCAAGGTCAAATGTTTGGGTGCAACTCCTGGGCCCTGAACCTTCACCATCCAGAGAAAGAGTCGGGGAGAGAAGAAACAAGGATAGAGAGGAGACATGGAGGGAGAGAGGTGGGAGAAAGGGGGAGATAGAGGAGGGAGACATGAGGAGAAGGAGAGGGAGACAGGGGGAGGTAGAGGAGGTAGTGAGTGATTGAGTGAGTGAGAGGTTGAGTGGCTGAGTGAGTGAGTTAGTGGCTGAGTGTGGTGACGGTCTGAGTCAGTGGCTGCGTGGCTCGGTCACGTGCCGCTAGCACTTAGAGACACGAGCCTGTGGCACACACGCAAAAGAAGA